CTTTGACGACCTAAACTTTTTTAATTTTTTTAATTAAAAAAAAAACAAAGAAAATAAAAAACTAGAGAAAGAGAAAAATCCCCCACCTAAGTATCTAGGACCATGCTTTGTGCTTTTTTAATGTTTTACATCCTTAAGGTGTGAGACTTGGTGTAAAGGAATGGAGATGTGTGTGTCACATAAGTTGCCCACTTTGGTGATATAAACCATATTCCAAGTTTGAGTTGAGGTGAGGTGAGGTGGGGCTGCTGGCTGCTATGTAAGTAAAAATGGACAGTACAATACAAAGCATAGAATATGGATCCAATTAAGAGGGGGGCATGGGGGCCATGATGGGAACCCTAACTTTCTTCCCTTGTGAAAAGGGGCACTCATGTAATGTAATGGAATTGCACCACTCCATTCATATATCATCTTACAATTATGTTTGCTTTGCTCCTTTCTTTTCCTCTCTCCTATATATATATATATATACTTTCATCTTTGGACAAGGACCCCTCATAGGGTCCCACACACACACATATATATATATATATATATAAATATAGGGCCCCACACTCACATATCACAACTCACTTGAGAAACTTGATGGGACCTGGAGCCTTGTCAAATTGGAATTTAAGATGCATGGCCCCAATTTAGCATTTCTTAATAAGCATGAAGCACAAGTCTAAAAAAGGAGCCCACCCTAGTGAGTGAAAGCAGACCAAAATTACAAAGACTTAGAGATTTTGAGTGGAGGTTGATTATTTACTCTGTTCTTTTGATGCTGCAAAAGGAGATTGGTGAAAAAAGAACAAAACCTCAAATGTGTGACAGACAGACATGTCTTGATTTTACTATGCATGGGTAATGGGTTATATGTTATCTTTTTCAAATGGAGGGCTTAAAGATGAGATTCCAAAATCTCCCCCCAAAAAAAAAAAGAAGGCATAAACCAACCAGTGACCTAGAAATCATATCTTAACAATGAATTTTTTTTCTTTTTCTTTTTTCTTTATGTGGGGAATTTCAATGACCTGCCATGAGTCTACTTTACAAGGTTGGATTTGGATTTGTGGTGTGATGGATGGAGTAAGTCTAAAGATAGAGACATTATTTATTGCAGATTTGAATCCAGAAAACCCCACTAGGGATGATGAAGCAAATATGGAAAACACAAGTTAAAGAAGCAAGAAAAAAAGAGCAAAGGGAGGAGCAACAGTTAACACAAACTATTCTTTTTTCTCTGTGGATTTGACAGAAGATTGGTTGTCTGCAAGTGTAAACATCACCCTCTTCCACTAGCACATTATATCCATGTGCAAAAGTCCCAGTCTTTACTCTCTCTCTCACCCCCATTGATAGGTCCTTGTAGATTGTGGTTGCAAACCCAACCCTCCCATCTTGGGTAAAATCATTGTGTCTCTCTTTGCTCTCTCTCTCTCTCTCTCTCTCTCTCTTTAGTGGGTACTTTGTCTAAAGTAGAATGAAATCCCTTGTTGTCTACATTAGGCACCACTCCAAAAGCTCTCACCAATAAAATGATTCATCATGTTTGGTTGATGTGAGTGGGCACACACCGAGAGAGAGAGAGAGAGAGAGAGAGGAATGAATTTTCTATATGAAAGGACATAATATTGCAGAGGATAGATGGGTTGGTTTGGACTAGGTGTTGGCTGAAAATATGTAAAGTGATTCTGCTGAAATGATCTCTATCATGAACTAAATAGAGATATGAATGTACTATGGTCTTTTTTCTTTCATCCTTCTTTTTCACCCACTTTTCTTTTTTTCTGTTCAAAAGTTGCACAGCAGTGAAGTAGAGACATGAACTTGGAGTTGAAGGTGACATTACAAGAGAATCAGCTCTCACTTTGGACCAATAAGTGGAGGATATATTTAGGTATTGTCACCAATTTGGTAGTGCACAGTATCGACTTGTCGACAATTTTTGGGGTGCATGACATGCGGGTGATAATTGGGCCCATTGATCATGGAGCACAATACTTTCTCAGTGGAATTCAAACTCTAATTGGATTGATTATGAAACTGAAAAGAATTTGTATTCTTCCTTTTTACACCTAAATCCTAATCTTTGGACAAAACAAAAAAGCCAATTTAAATGTATATGGTAAATTTGCACTGAATGATTTCGAGGTGTAAGGATGTTTTGACTGTTAAGGATAAGTCTTATTGTTTAGGATCGATTGTCAGAGTGACCATACATTTGAGTAGAGGATACCCTCTCATTTGGTATGAAATGAGCAATGTTAGAGATAGTCGGACATGAGTGGGCTAAATCTAATTATTGATGCGTGTAAGTATACAATGCATCAACGATTAAGATCATTCCACACCGGCGTTCACGATTCATGGCAGCCTTCTTGGGTTTGGTAATTGCTTGTGCATCCAATAGTTGATGATTACAACTTACAAGTCAATGAATCCATTATTGAAACAAGAAGTACTAGTACGATAATAATGCCAATTAATGGTCAGCTGTCAAACCTTTTTTATGGGTTGGAAGCTGCCTTATTTTACAAAACAGAATGGGCCATAAGGAACAAACAGATCAAGAGTGAGAGTTAGGATGTTTGGGCCAATTTTACTAGGCTCCACAATGAACCCTACTACTCCTAATCAAAAGAAAGAAAGAAAGGAAGAAAAAAAAGACCACATAATCAAATCTCGCTTTCCATGTTCAAAATGAATGGATGGTGACTTCACAGGAAAGACATGCCCCACCAAGTCATCATATACCAAACGAAACATGCATGATGATCTCTGCATAATGCAATTCCCACACTAGTCGTAGTCGACACACAGATTATTATCAGGAAAATAAATATTCAAAACACTTTATGGTTGTTTTCATTTGATTTTTTTTGAATTGATGATGAGGAGGAAACAGCTACAAATAAATGCATTATAAAGAAACGGAGGAAAGTTTTTAAACTAAGATTTCTCAATGTGTCGGCTGCACACTTTGTCTTACCTGATTTTGTTTAGTGATGCGTATGTACAGTAGAAAAAGTATATCATAACCGACCGGTCGTACGTACGTATACTAGGTATAAAGTGATTTGTTCTTGCGAGACTATTTAACATGACAGAAGTATAATGACCCAGCGCTGTAAATCATGCGCAGAGACTGAAGCACAGTTTTCTTGTGCACCAGCCAAAGGCATAAGTTGTGAACCAGTGTTTTAAAGCATCCACTTGAGTCTGTCAGTAACGTTAAAGCATATCAACTACAAAATATATATTTCACATAAATTTTTTGAGATTTTGGAGGAAACTTAATGGGTAGAGATAGATTGAACTGGTTTGACATAACTAGCTGTTCAATTAACTTTCCGCAACGTGCACAAGGGCGAGGAGGTGACACATAATTTTTTCCTTCTTTAATCTATGCTTAAGTTGTTGCTCAATCTCACTAGCTATATGGGAAGTATTTCCACATCCAAGGGACAATTTTATAATGTTTTGATATGGAGTATGATTGTGTATTCCGTTTTTTGTTTTGTGTGCATGTGGTTTATTTATTAGGTTAGATTCATGGTCCATCAGTTGATGGTTATGTCACAAGGTGGTGCATTATGTTATAGATTTTGGTTCAATTTCACATCAATCATGGAGTTGTTATGTGATTACATTAGGTTGTTGGTTTGTGAGTTATATCTTGAGAATTTGAGGAATAGAAGAAGATGCATAATATATGAGTAAGATTCATAATGAATAGATTGTGTTAGGTTTAATGATTGAAAATGTGTTCTACTCTGTTTTTCTGTTCTTCTTATTGTTAATGATGTATATTATTCTTACTAAAATCAAAGAGTTGAATTTTGTGTTATGAAATGAGTTTGTTTGTCTGTTTGTTTTTTTAATTTTTTATAATCAAAGTGAAACTTCATTAGATAAACTTCTACGAAACAATAATTAAATGGGTTTCTGCATAACTAGAAGAAAAAAAAGTGTCATGACAAAACAAATTCATTAAACTAAAGGAGTAGTTCTTGCCATCTCCAATGCTGGAGGACTCAAAACTAAAATTTCTCCCTTCAAAATACAATTATTCAAGTATAGTTCGGACTCAAACAATTTTTTTTGTCCACCAACATTGCATGACTCAAGATTTAAGTCCATAGCTTTATTAAATTGTTTAAGAATAGTTTAATTCTAAAATTATTTTATGGTTAATTTTATTTATACCTTCGTGGTTTATTTATCCAAACATTTTAATTTAAAAAAGTTGAAATTCCTCAATCATATTTTATTTCACTTAAAATGAAAGGAAGAAATTGATTTTGGTAGATTAATTAATAAATGGATGAATATTTATAAAATCTTAGATGAGTTTCGGGGTTGGATATAATTTAAATTAATTAATAATATTATAATAGTCGTTTGATTTAAATTTGGGCCATTGGATCGCAAACGGGCAGATAATCTCATCCTTACACGCAGTGTCTGCAAGCTTCCGCAGTGGTCTGCACGCTCTCTTCAGCTGCTTCACGTGGGCTGCATGACTCGCTACCCTGGGCTTCACATTGTTTCAGTCCGACTGGAATCTCGGGCCAAATTCCGCCTGATCTTGGGTTTTGGGGAAAATTTGAACCCGCTAATACACAAGTTTCAAGGTTTTCTTGGGCTAAAAACTCAAATTTTGGGTTTGGCCCTTACCCATTGGAGCCTTAGAACAGAACAGATGACAAATTCTTTAGATATCTTTAAAAAAAGATTGGGCAGTTGGAAACAGAAACCTGCATCTCTGCAAGTTGATTGGACCATCAGCAACTGCTACGTCAAGTACACTTGTATTGACCTTCGCAAGGACATTGCGAGAATCAAGAGATGATATTATCAAATCAAAATGACCAATGTTGGAGTTTAACTAACTAGCACACACAGTCCAAACTGTTTTGTTTAACTAAAACTCCAGAGTCACTACTCATAAACTTGTCTTCCCTTTGCACCTTAGAGATCTCTAACATGAAGCTTTCTGCTTCTTGTTCTTTCAAATTGGGGAGATAAAGTGCATGAAAGTTGCAATGACAAATATCACAAAAAGAACCAAAACTTTACATTTTCAAGAAACAATCTATGGAGAATGCATGGTTTTACATGAATTGATCTCTCTCCTACCGCTAAGTGCTACAAATTTATCGTTAAACAACAAAAGGGGACATTTGTTTATCAAATTCAGCCCATCATAAGCTTCTTTAAGAAACACAGTGCTCCTTGCACCTTTATTAGTTATGTAAAATATGCCAGGATGCTTTATCAGACAGAGCAGCAATTTAGAGGGCAAGAAATACTCTGAGTGAAACGCATCCAATTGAGCAGATGTCATCCTCTTCTGCATTGTCAAGCTGAGAAGCTCATGGAGCACCGCTACCACCCGCTTCCTGGCTTTCGGATCAGCAATGTCAAATCTCCTGGCATTCAAATAAGGGGAAGGGAAATCCATTTTCTGCCACCTTTCAAGTTGCTCAAGATAGCTAGTGTTTGGCCTAAAACCAGCAGGAAAACTCATTCTAAATGCATGGGGACCTAGAAAGTTACCATCTTTTGATATTCTAACCTTGTTTCCCAATCCAGAAGGAGCAGAAATCCCTTCACCACCTAATTCACCACCTAATTGTTCCTCACGAGCTGTGACTGCTATTGAAGAATCCCAATTCTCCAAATGAAGATAAAGTTTGCCATTGAGTTCCTTGACCGAAAAAATTTCAGGGTACTTTGGAAGCAATGATTTCTTGAAATCATTCGGCAAACCCAATTCGGAATCAATGAATTCAATGTTTTCCAGAGGGACCCGGCAATCAACTGACAGCATTAATAGCTTCCTCAAGTTTTTAACCAAAATGGGTTCCATCAAATCCTTAGCTTCAGCTTCTTCTCTAGCAACTTTTTTAGCTTTTTCAGCGAGTGTAACAAAAGGGGGCGTTCTGTTACCACCACCAACATAGAAGATTGAAGGATATTTTTCTATGGCAGCCATGAAGTTCCATTTCTGAACAAACCCAACTTCTTTCTCGAGATCCCTGAGAAGGAGAGATTGGTGCTTTTGCGACTGAATAATAGATTTCAGCTGCAAAATCAAGGCCGGCTTTTTCTGAAAGTCCATGACTTTGTCAAGTTCGTGGACTCTGTGGTAGACTTTCCTCTTGGGTCTTCTTCCTCCGCTGGATTTGTGCTTCACCGGGACCCACATGGAGGCTTTTCTGTGACATGGGATTGGAGATGACAATGCATGCGCTTGTGATTCACACGGAGGAGAGGTTTTCAGAAGTTGGTGAAAGCGCAGCATCGTGGTTTTCCTTTGCATTTTGCGAGAACAGGTTAGTCTCTGTGGCGCAAAACATCGAACAGTTGGAGTGCGAGCCTATAAGCAACGGTCAACCCAGAGAGACTGCTCCGCCTTTGTAGGAGGTGGAATGGTCATAGGATTCATATTAGGCATGGCAGTGAACTGGGCCTTCAAAAAGTAAGCCCAAAGAAATATGAAGCTGCGTTTTTGCATTTATGGTGGGTATATGCCCATAGCTATCACTACTATTTCGGTGGATAGGCCCATAGGCATCATTCGAAGGCGGAATCAAGAATTTTTCAACGGATGACTAGCTAAAGTTATTGGCTTAAAATTTAATAATTTTTTTTTTTTTGGTACTTCCAATTTCTATAGTCTTTCTAGAAATAAAAGTAAATATTAAATCATATATACCAAGCTAGTTCATAGTTCCATAGACTAATTTTCAATAAGTTTTAACATAAACTAAATAGGGTTTAACATCATAGTGGATTGAACATTTAAGGCTTTTTACTTAGATTGACTTTAGGTTCCTTCATGCATTCATATCATACATGAAAAGTTGTTTTATGTAAAAATATTGACTAAGTATGAAAAATGGGTTTTCGGAATAATCATTTTCTCAAGATAATTTTTGGCGGCTTTCATTCCTCACACATCAAATAAGAAAACTTGATTTTATGGAATTTTAGTATGAAGTATATATTGACTTAATGAGCCATCATTTTTAGCATAAATCGTATTTTGCACTAAAACCGACTAACTGGGTTAATATGAAAATAAGTTAAATATATAGGTTATATATATATATATATATATATATATATTTTTTTCTTTCTTAAAAACTCACACTAGGCTACAGCCCACTGTAGCCTTTAGTGTGGTTCCGCCCATGACATCATTGCCTTGCAAATTGAAGATATAATTCCACACTTGTTGTTTTCTTTCCTTCCTATCCTTTTATGCTTTTATTTATGGCTTATTATCACAAAACGTCCATAAGGTTTAAAAACTATCAGATTGCATCCTGATTGTTTTTTTTGTCATTCGTGGTCTTCAAAGTTAGTGTGCATGATCACAAATGGTCCCTACCGTTAGGATCCGTCAAAAAACTCTGTTAGTTTGTTGATGTGGCATATATGTATATCACAAAACATTCTTGAGGTTCACACACCTATCACAAATGGTCCTTACGAAATTTTTAAATTTTTAAAATTTAAAATTCATAAATTTTTTGTTTTAAAATTTTATGAATTATAAATTTTTTAAATACATGTGACACTATATTATTGTAGTTGTGGGCTCCATATATATATACCACATCAACAAACTAATGAAGCTTTTAAAAAATAATTTAAAATTCATAAAATTTAAAAATGAAAAAAACTAAGGTTTTTTAGGTTTTAGACATAAAAAAAATTTCACTTTTGGAAAAAGCCAAAGCTTTTTCAAAAAAGACAAAAAAACCACTCAACTTTCAAATCAAAGACATGCAAATGTATTGGATTCCTTAGGAAATCTAAAATAAATAAGGGCATTTTTGTCCATTTTTGCTTCTTTTAAAGGTTTAGGGTTCATTAGTTTGTTGCTTCTTTTAATCTAAAGTCACAAAATCGTTATTTTGACTATTTTATAGCGACAAAAACAGCTCCTTGAAGTTATGATCAAATAAAAGTGCGTATGTGTATGATGGCCATGATCAAATAAAGTAACTCTTATAAACCTAAGGCCATTCCAATAAATTCCTATGTAATTTTCAAGATTAGTTTTGGGATTAGCTACTTACCCTGGGGAAGAACCGCGTAAGGGATTCTGAGAAAGGAAGCTTGATAAAAAACGACCTTAGAGAGAACTCCAGGTCAGCTTCTTCCACCCTCGAGCCATAAGATTGATTCACAGTGAGCTTAAACATAAATCTTTCCACAGGGATGCTATCACTGTTAAAGAAAATAACTGCTACTCTCTCCACCAGACCCTAGTTTGTAAAATGTACGTCTGTTTTAGTGAAAATGGTACATCACCGGAATAAATACATTAAACGAATAAGAAAGACTGCATCTTTCTTAAAAAAATCAAAAAGAAAAAAGAAGAAAAAAAATCCAACCCGCCCAGACCCGCCTAGCGCCTAGGCGGAATTTTCGAACAGATGAGATATATGAGAAATTTTTGAAGAAACAAGAAAGAAAAAAGTAAAAGGAAATAAATGAGTAAAGGATCAACCTTTTGGAAGAAAGGATGAAGTCCCGAGACAGCAGAATGGATATAATCTCTGAGTTCAGGGTGACGAGCGCTATGAACCACCAAATTCATATATTTCCTTCTTTCAAAAGCATCTTTGCCCAAAACCAACCATCAGTGAAAGCAGTTGAAAATGCAAAAACAACAATTACCCATTATCCCGCTAAGCTCATAAGCAATTTGAAAACTGGGTTTTGCTTTCTGGGTTCCCCCGATAATGAAGAAAAACAGAACTCAAAACCACAACTTTTTTTCTCAGCAACCAAAACGAGAAATGGGCTTAGAACTGTGAAATTAGAGATTTTCTTAAGAAGAATAATTCTCGGTTGTTATTGATAGAGCCAAGAGGCTAAGTATTTATAGAGATATTACAAGCTTAACTAGGAAAACTAGGTTACTTGGAGACTACTCCAAATCAATTACAATCAACTAATAAAAGGAAACTAAATAACAATTTAATAACGTTCCTAATTTCCAACAGAAGTGATTTGTTAACAGGGCTAACAGGGCTAATTGGGAGAGTAGTAGAAATTCCTGGGAAGTGGGAATTGGTAGAGCCGAAGAGAGGGAGGAGAGAGAGGAGAGAGAGACAAGAGATAACAGGGCTAACGTTAGTTTCGGAAAAAATTAAAACTAAAATTTATTTTAATTTTGATATGTTATATTTAAGTCCTCAGATTATTGTAAGGGTCCGTATGAAGCGAAATGCAGAGAAATGTGTGAATTCTAGATGCATATGCTAGATAATAGGATGAATTTTATATCGTTTACGATGATATATACTTGAGAACATGCACATCTCACACAGAAGAATTCCAACATAAAAATAACATTGACATTTAAGTGACAATATTCTTACAAATTTATTTACCAAAGCACTATCAGCTGCAACATCTGGGGCACACAAATATTGCAGACCTTAATAGCTAAGCTAGTTAATAGGTGAAAGATCACCAAGTTGCAATTAATAATTAGTGACTAGAGAGGGTAGTATGCCAACCACCTAGTTATCATAGCAAGACATTCTTCAGGCTTGTACTCTGGAGCTGTGTGACCGGCTCCCTGAAAAATCAGAAAATTTAGTCTCAGCTTTTGCTCAAGCAAATTGTAGTATGAAAAATATTTAAAGTCCATGATGGTTCTTGGCTTCTTGCCTTTATAGTTGTATATGTCAACTGGTACTTTTTATCTGAGTACAGCACTCTGTATCTAAAGCGAACGAAAAAGGCACAACTATGAGATGGTTGTAATCTGATTTTCTGACTAAACTCAATACGAAGTAAGAAAGAAGATGAGATAGAAGATACCAACCCTGCAACCTGTCCGTGGAGGAACCATGGCTTCCAACGACTGTCGACAGTCAAGTTCAGAGATTCAATCCAACCCATAGTAGACAAATATGGAATATTCATGTCATGATCACCACTGTTAATAGACAAGCTTTGTGTTCAGAAATGATATTGTGAGAATGATTAGATTGTATGAGTTCCTGTAATTGAATTTTCCCTCCATTTGGTGACAAATAAGGCTTTCTGTTTGGGTCTTTATGCTTGACTAAAACCAAAAACAATGGACAGAATTATAAGCATATGGTACCTGTAAATCAGAACTCTATAGCCTTGTTTTATGAGGTTCTCATGATAGACAAGACTAGAGGAAACATCAGATATATACAAGTCATGTAAGGTCTTATTGCATATCTCCCATTCCTTAATGCTTCCCTGATTCTTTTAAAAAAAAAAAAAATGATGAGCAAAATTAAAGTACTGTGATATGTCATGAAAACCTGAAGAATATCTTTGGAAGGAACTAATTAAGAACAAACCTGGAGGTAAATTCCTTTGAGGAAAACGATTGAAGTGATTGCCACCTCCAGGAATTCAATTTTAATTATACTCATCTAATAACCAAAAAACGAAGACGAAAATATACCAGAAGTAGAGAGGTTTTGAAACCTTGAGGAGAGTGATTATCTTTGCAAACTGTGTTGAATAATATTAAGGGGTATAGCCGTCGCACTAAGACGAGAGAAGTCGGGATTTGTGGCCTACCCCACATTTGCCTCCTATGCGCCACGAGCATCGACAAACATCTCCTTTTAGTTTAGGACATACATTAAAAATATTCTATTTATTGCGTATAGCCGCGCGGCTATATGTTTGGAAAATTCTATTTATTGAGTATCGCTTCGCGGCTATACGGCTGGAATATTCTAATTACATAGTATAGCCGAGCGGCTATACTATTTTCACAAAGACACTCTAGGCGCGTCTTTTTATTATTATTTATAAATGGTCTAGCCGGCTGACGGGCTTTACTGGGGTCCTTTTTTTTAAATTCTTTTTTTTTATTTATAAATAGTATAGTTGCGTGGCCATACTCTGGATTTTTTTTTTAAATTAAAAAAGGTATCGCCGCTCGGCTTTACTAGGGTCCTTTTTTAATTGTTTTTTTAAAATAGTATAGCCGCGGCAATACTATTTACATGGACGCTGTGATCTTTTTTTTGTAATTCTTTCTCCCCCATTTTTGTTTGTTGATAAGAGTAGTTTAGAGTATTATCCATTACTATTAGGCTATTACCCGAGTCTCTATTATCTCCTTTTGAGTTTAAAGCATTATACATTACTCTGCACGTTCTTAACATACAAATCCTTCTTCTCTCCAGGAACATAATTTGGACCGTGATTCTAACCTTCAAACCTGTCTGGACTTTACCAGCAAGGACACGACCAAACGCAAAGAATCGACCCTTGTCAGATGAGGGAATCATCTTAGATACATAAAACATAAGAGGTCCTTCAGGATCACAGTTCCTGATAGCATTTGCATATTGATCATCAAGGGGACCCTCGTAAAGGTTCTCAACACGGTATCTCTGGTCTGTTGAAGTAGAGGGAAGGTGAAAGATGATAATTTCCAATAGGGCACTGCTGGCTGGTAGCCAGGTCTGCATGACACGCTTCATCAACGCCTTCCCCATCAGCTCCTTTTCATCACTCTTCATTGTGACACCAAGCTTTGTCAACATGGGCCACAACTTGTCCTTCTGATCATTCATGCAGGTGTTGATAATCTGCTTGATGGGTTCATAACAGAACTGAACGAAACCACTCTTGCAGGTAGCAGAACCAGTGTTCTTGCTGGTCCATTTCTTGGTAGCTGGGTCAAAGTAGTTCTCACCCCAGAGCCTTTCCATCATCTTTGATTCATCAACTCCAAACTTGGATGCATACATCTGTGCAAACCAGTGTATGATGGCTAAGATCAAATAAAGTAACTCTTATAAATAAATCTAAGGTCATTCCAATAAATTCCTATGTCATTTTCAAGATTAGTTTGGGATTAGCTAGGCAAACAAATTCTTGTACTAGTTAGCAAAACGGTCACGTATGGTTCAAGGGATACCTCAACATGGAAGTTGTAATTGTAAATGAAATGTTAAGAGTGAAATTTTAATCAGCATTCATATTGAGAGTGTGATGCTCTACCAAGCATATTTTTCATGATTAACGACCTCCAAATCATGCGTGAGGCATATTTTTCTTGCACTGGCCAAAGGCATATGTTCTCAACCAATTTTTTAAAGCAACTACATGAGTCTATTCTAAACATGAAACACATCAACAAGTACAAAATATACGATAGTTGGTATTTCAGAAAAATAATTACAATCGAAATTGAGATCGTGGAGGAAACTAAAATGTCATTTATTTTGGTTACCACTATTAATTTGTTTGTTGAATTCTATCACGTGTTTGATAATTACTTTTTAGTGGCAAAGATGTGGATAGAGGAGAATGCATTCATGGCCTAGTTCGCGGAACAAACTAATATGTATGAGGAAAATAATGTAATTATTGGGTTAGTGGTAAAAAGAGTTGATGTTGCAAATTTTCTCATGGAGGTTTCTTTCCACTGTAGTTTGCTCTCCGGCATCAAACCAATGTGACATGGGCTAGGAGGGCTTCATGGAAGATTTCTCTTACATAATTGGCTTCGTAAATTCATATTCCCCAATAATGTCAAGGGCTTCTTTTGCAACTAACAAAAAAGATCAAGTTTTCAAGCATCTATTTATCATATGATAGTAAGGATTGCATCAACAGTTCTGATAATGTGCGATCATACTATGACATCTCTTATTACAATCCGCTCATGTTATAATAAAGTATTTTATTTATTAATACTTTACCTGTTAAATATAAAATGATTGCCCATTCATATAAGGACGCGTGAATTAACGTCACACTCAAGAATATTTCGTTAAGTAGTTAAGGCAAATGAGGTCCCACCACCTAAGTTATCAATGGAGACGTGCTTAGGGACACCAATGTTGAATTGGTTCAAATTTGGGTCACTTTTAGATCATACTTATTAACAACAAATAATCATGTTAGTGAACAAATTTAGGGAATCTAGCATTATTGTTATTAATAAAAGGAGGTGTCATATATAAAAAATAATTAATAATGTGAGTTTTTCTAGGTTTTTACTTAACCATTTTCCTATAATTTTTATGTAACTGTTTGGGGGTGGTGGAAACCCACCTAATCCCGGCACGGGATATTGGATGGGCACGAGAAGAACTGCGGCCGGGCAGAATTGGAAGACTGCGGCCGGGCAGAATTGGAAGACTGCGGCCGGGCAGAATTGGAGAACTGCGGCCGGGCAGAATTGGAAGACTGCGGCCGGGCAGAATTGGAAGACTGTCGCCGGGCAGAATTGGAGATTCGCAGCCGGGCGGAATAGCGCGGCCGGAGAAGAAGAATTGCGGCTGGGCTAGTGCATATGGATTGTTCTGTTGGGCACGGCCAGGATTGGAAGAGTTCGTAGCCAGACAGAATTGGAAGTTCGTAGCCGGGCATAATTGGAAGTTCGTAGCCGGGCAGAATTGGAAGTTCGTAGCCAGGCAGAATTGGAAGTTC